AACTTCCATTTGATGCTTTATTTTCTCAGCTAATTGAGCAATATCTGTTGGTGTTCTTCAGTGCTTCCTTGTTCTTTATCTTCCTCCATTTAAGCATCCTCTTCCTCCCTTTCTTCCTCAGTTTGCTTTTGAGTCTGCAAATCATTCTTGATGTTACTCTTCTTTGTTGGTATAACTCAGACCATTAGTTTCTCTCTCTTCGATTCCTATTAATTCTGCTATAGTGAAAAATTTGTGGCTTAGAATTACACATCGTTGGTCCATTAGCCTTTGTTCACTGATATCACAATCCGTGTGGTTCACCTTCCAAATCTGATACATTTGTTTTTGAAATCAACTTTTTGCTGGCTCAGACTGATAGTAAGCTTTCATAATAGATTTTTTTTTCCCAAGTTCAGATTTTTCACTTTTTCTTCCAATAGCTTGTCAGCTCCATGCCCTGGTTGCCTAGCAGAGGGAGCTGAGCCCTGTAGCTCATTTTGTGCAGAATGCCCATGAGCCATATCATCTAACGGAACCCTTGTTAATCCGAGCAATGGTTCAGCCGGCACAACTTTTTTTCGTATTCACCATATTTGAATGGGTTGTGGAGCAAATTTTGTCTGGCCCTCCACCTAAGAACTGTCTGATATGGTTGTACCTGTTCAGCATATCCCTTAGGATCATTAGAGTGCACAAGCCCCTCCACTACGACAAGGTAAAGCTCCTCAGTGGTTGTTGTTGTTGTTATTGTTATTATTATTATTATTTAATTAATTATTCAACATTTTTTCAATTGTTCTTAGGAGTCTAACCATGGTAGAGAAGGTAGACAAACTAACCAGATTCCATCTAAATTGTATTTCTCCTATGAACACAGGACAGAAAATGGAATGATAACCATTAAAATGAAATTGAAAACAGACAGTTGTGGATTGTGCAGAGAAGCACAAGTATAGTGTTACCAGTATTTTTTAATTCTGCAAAGACAAATTATGCACATAATGTAGAAGAAGATGGGAAATAATTCAGTTTAGCAAAACTAAAAAAAATCCATGCAAAGACCAATGAAATATCTCTTTCTGTTTAAAGGTAAAAGGGGATAGACATTCATTGGGAAAAAGGAAGAGAAAAGAGAGTTAGAAGAAAAAAAATCAAATATTGCAATTAGTGAGCTTTCTATTTATAGGAAAAAGTCAGGGAGGGAGGGAGAAAGAAAGAAAAAAGGGAGAAGAGAACAAAGAGTGAGAACTGGTATGGCAATTGATAATCATTCTATCTTTCAATCTCTTACTCTGATGACTGAAGCAGTCATTTCCTGAGACCATAACTGCAGTATTTTCCACTCCCTTTCTTTCTTTTCCTATATCAGATTGAGAAATCTCATTCAGTCTGCTTTCAATTTATTTTGTCTCCCTTCAATTCCTCCCCTAATCATGCTATATACCCCTCTGTGATTTAATAACATGATTCTCATTTGAGAAGTACTTTTCAATAACAAAATTCTTTTCCTATCATGGCATCTTATAGAAACAATGAAAATTGAGCCTTTCTTTTTTATTGATATTTTAAAATTTACTGTGTCCAAATATATCAATGACAGATTCTTTAGCATTAGAAAATAGTAATATTGACTATTAAGTTCAAGTTTTAACTCTTCCTTTCTGTAGCTGATTAATTTGAAACATTACTTTAGATATTAAAGTGATTTGATCTCCCCTGATCAGATGGTATCTAATAATAGCAGGAGACAAGTTAGTTAAAGTGATGGCAAAAATAATAGAAGTTTGTTTATATTTATTTGTTGAATAACATGTTTTCCTTAATAAGTTATATTTTTGAATATTAAAATACGCAGTTTTCTTGGACTGCATTATTTTTAAAGTTTGAAAATTAGTAGACCATAAAAGTGATTTTGGATCAAGAATCATAGATAATTATGCCTGAGAGAAACTCTACCACTTTAGAATAGGAACAGTCTTTCTCATAATATGTTACAAATAAAAAGATATACTATTTTATCTATTACATTTTTATCCCACCTTTATTACCTTATAGTTCTATACATTAATCTTGCTCTCTTTTTACATGTTTGTTTCATATTCAGCTTCACTTCTTTTTAAAGAGAGTCTCATTTAACAACAGTGCTGGAGATAAAATTTCTTTTGATAAGTATAGAAAGCTGATTACAGGACTGGAGATTGAGAATTGGGTCACCTTCCCCAACCAGTCCTTGCATCAAGTGAAAGTTGGGAAGCTGGATCCCTGGGCTGTTGAAGACAAAATGTTCACTATTCATGAGGAAGCCATCAAATGGCCCAGCACTTTCAACCAAGTGAGTTCAATTTGAAATGTGTGAGATGATATTCTAAGAGTAGCCGTGGGATTCAAATTTTTTTACACTGGTTCTGTGGGCATGGCTTGGTGGGTATGGCAAGGGGAAGGATACTGTAAAATCTCCATTCCCTCCCAATCAGCTGGGACTCAGAGGCAGAGAATAGATGGGGCAGAACCAGTCAGATATGGTATTTACCTGTTTTCCGAACTACTCAAAATTTCTGCTAATGGGTCTCCAGAACTGGTCAGAACCTGCTGAATACCCCCTCTGCCTAAGAGTCTAACCTAAACCTCTGGAGTTGTTCCTCCTATTATTAAATCCAATTTTCTAATACCATTTAGGAAGCTACTTCAGAAACATTTCTCTATATTCGACTACTACATCAATTTGTTTTCACTTCAGATTATTATGTAATTCAATATTTATATAAATTGTAACCATTTTAAAATAAACACATATGTAACTTAGACATTCTGTCACTTTTTGACTGTAGAGTTTCTCAGGGTTTTGGTCTCAACATTCCTTTAAACCTGAGATATTTTGTGGTAATATTTTTAATTGATGAATTCTATAAACAATTCTGTATTATGAACCATCATTTCCAACTTAAGAAGAAGGAATGAATTAGTGAGATCCTATAATGGTTTTTGCTTTATGATTTTGATACCTCTTTAACTCTTAAGATATTTAAAATAGTAAAGAATGTTACTAATCAGCATCAACATCATATGTTTTATAAATTATTTGGAAATTTAATGAAATATTGAGATTTATCAGATTTACCCTTCATTAAATTTATCAGATGTAATAAAGACTTTACAAAAGTCATTTTAATATTGAGTAATGCTAATTAAAATTTAATTATTTAAATTCATTAATGGGGTTCAACGGAACTTATTTAAAGTTTGAAAAAAAGATTTCCCTATCTCTGTATTACTTTACTTTCGAAACCTTAAAACATAATAAAATATTAATCCTAAAAAATATTTTCTCATTAACAAATTAAATAAAAATAATCTATTATTGTTCCTTTTTTAATTTGTTAACTAAGAATATATTTAAAAATATAAATTGTACTATGATGGTTTTAACTGCTCACCATTGGATATAAATTTTTATTCAACGTTTGGCATCCCTTCAGTAGGATGTCTACTACCTCTAGAACCCACACCTTCTTATAAATTTCTTTCAAATATTTAATTGTATTCTGCATTACATTCTTTTTTCATTTAAATATCTCTGAAAAATGTGTTGCTATTTAGGTGTAATATATTTAATTATTTGTATTATGCAACAGTAAAAGTAGATATTTTCCAGAGTCTTAAAAAAACTTTTTGTTTTAGTTCCACTGAAATAATTTCAGCACTAGGGAATGGTCCAAGTGTAACATATTTCTAATCTAATTATATAATCCATAGTACTGAAAAAATAATTCAATTTTGAATAGTTTGGTACTTCAACTCATGGAAAAAAAATCTCAGATTATTACAATTGAAACTTTATTATAGAATATCAATCATGATTTTTCAACTTTTCCCCTCAAGACACATGATTACCATTTTCTTTTCTTTTTTCATTTATTGGGCAGACCATACCTGTTTCAGTGTGTACCGAGAGCTGCCTACCTGGATATTTTAAGAAAAAGCAGGAAGAGAAGCCTTTTTGCTGCTATGATTGCCTCCTGTGTCCCAAAGAAAAAATATCAAGCCAGAAGGGTAAGAGACATTGTAAACCAAATTTCCTTATTGTTCTGCAGGTCACCCTAAGCAGATCCATGAATGTATACGTGCAGGACATGAATTATATACTTATCATTTAAGAGATTTTGCCCTTTTGATAAAGAGGAATGTTCCAACTTTCTCAAAGAAAGACCTCCCACAGAGTTAAGAATTTAAAGGGTTTCACCGGTATAAACTGAAATCTTCATATAAGTTTGGAACCTAGGTGACTCAGCATATATCATTTCCAGGGCACATTGATTAGTTTTTGGATTTATCTAAAACTTTGTATACCATTTCCCATTTAAAAAAATATTGATACTTTTTACAAAATCCCAAGCACTTAACAAAGTTGATTTTTAAAAAAATGCATGTCATTTAGTGGCCACAATTGGAACTTGGCACTTGGCATTAAATGAAACAACTGTTGTTAACTGTTTTATTTCAGTTTTCCTTTTCTCTACAGATCTTCAACGTAAGGATTGGTTCCTTTTATATTACTATTGTAACTAAGAATGGTTGCTAAATAAGGCAGTCACTAAACAAGGATTATCTGTAACCTCTTTTACTCATTCCCTCATTTTTAGAATAATTGTGAGCCAGGGTGGCCCAGTGGTTAGAGTGCAGTACTGCAGGCTTCTTCTGCTGACTGCAATTTGTCAATTCGAATCTCACCAGGCTCAAGGTTGACTCAGCTTTCCATCTTTCTGAGGTCAGTAAAATGAGGACCCAGATTGTTGGGGCCAATAGGCTGACTCTGTAAACTGCTTAGAGTGGGCTGTAAAGTTCTATGAAGTATATAGAACTGAGGTATATGAGTCTAAGTGCTATTGCTATTCCAGAGTTGGGATATTTAGCAAGAAAATACTTGATGTTTGCACTTCTATTCATTGAAGAAGAAGTGAATGCAAGAGCACAAGCAGGCACACAATGAGTAATGTAAGGAAGATCGTTGTCTTGGTAGGAGGAAAACAGAAGCCTTTAGTGCCGAATTGATTTAAGGTTTGTCAGTGTAAAGCAACAGTGTAAGCCATACATAGGCTTTTAATCAACTAATTAAAGTCCAGAAATGTGTTAATAATTGTTAGCATTTTACAGGACCTCAGGAAACAGCAGCTTCTTCAAACAATTTTGCTCTGAGATGGGACAGGCATGGCATGAACTAACTGTAATAGCAAACATATGTCTGAAAGACATATGCTGCAAACGGTTACCGAAATTATTGTCTCCTTATAAATAAAGGAAACTCCAACTTTCACAAAATCATTTCTATTTTATTCAGAAAGTTTCAGAATTTTTTCATTTAAGGAGAATCAGGGACACCTTTCCTTTNTTCTCAACTGGCTCTTCTTCAAATGAAAGCCCTTTCTATTACCACATGGTTCCAGGTGAAGAACTTTATTACAGAGGGATTATTCGACTACTCTTGCACTTTAGATGGACTTGGGTTGGGGTAATTGTTTATGGATTTGGTGGAAGAACATTTCAGCACCTAATCTTTTCATTGTTTGCACTCCATAAAATCTGCATTGCCTTCTTGGAGCAATTCAGACCAGTATATTTCACCAATGCGTTAGAAGATATGGAATTGCTTGCTGAAACGTTTCACCTTCTTGTTAAGAGCAAAGCCAAAGTTATTATAATCAGAGATAATAATCTTTCAAATTTAAGGTGGTTGTTGTATCTACCTGAAATGGAAATAGTTTCTATAAAGCCCAAAGGTAAGGTATGGATCATGGCTTCCCAAATGGATCTTGCATCATTCTTTTATCAGAAAAGTTGGGATATACAAGTCCTCCATGGGGCTCTGAACTTTGCAACTTATTCAAATGAAGCTGCAGGATTCCAACATTTTCTTCAGACAAGAAATCATATGTCCTCCAAAGAGGATGGTTTTCTCAAAGAAGTGTGGGAGCAAGCATTTGGCTGTGTACTTCCAAATCCATCTGGGAATGAGGAAATGGAGGATGTCTGTACAGGGAGAGAGAAACTGGAGAGTCTTCCTGGGGCCTTTTTTGAAATGAGGATGAGCAGTCACAGTTACAGTATATACAATGCAATGTATGCTGTGGCACATGCTTTACATATCATGAAGTTGAGCCAACAACATAGGCAAAAATTGAGTGGCAAAAAGTTTGATCTTCAGGATCTGCAGCCATGGCAGGTAATTTGATGAATAATCAAATATGTTGGACATGGGATGTGAATTCCGTTTACTTGCTAGCATCTCTCAAACACATGAACACAAAGAGTTGTGAGATGTAAATGGAAAGTTCATAAAGATTTTTTTTTTTTACAATTTCTCTTTATCTCTTTTCTCCTTTTGGGTTAGGGTAGTAATCTTGGTACATTTTCTTTGAACATCTCATCTCGCTTACTCTCTATCTCTTTCTTGAAGGCTGTATCTGTTGAGATATGTCATTTGCCTATTCTTGTAACAAGCTTTATTTTGGGTAGAATTACAAGAATTGTTTGATTAGGGGAAATCTCCATTGTAAGAAACATCATCAGAAGCATTTTAATCAATAAGTTTATGGGCCTAAAATAGTGAATACAATAGGAAACTTTTAGGATGTGTAGAAGCTGGAAAAATAGAGAATTCTATTTGGTGTTTTGTAATTAAAATACTTCTGAGGCCACAGGCAACTTTTCTCAAGAATGAATGACTTATGCATGCAGAATGGACACTATAAATGACACAATAGCAGGAATGTCTGTCGTGGAGTGCATGATCAATCTTTATTCATCTATGAATTGAAAGGAGTCCATGACTATTTCAAAATCCTTACCACACTGTATTACAAAAGGATCATGTTTTCAAAAAGATATATATTTTAGGAGAGTATGAAATGAGAGTATAAGATAAGGCCAACTGAATTAGTACGCAAATGAAATGCAAGAAACAAGAAAACATTAAAGGTCAGTTTATATACATATAACAGGAATATTTATTATGTGGTTAATCTTTGGTGAGATTCACAGCTTTTGGGGCTGGTTAGTAGCTCAACAGCTCTAGTCCTAACCAAGGACCTAGGAACTGTTAAAGTAATGTCGGAGGATATAAGCTGTTCCAAGTACGGTGTTTTTTTGTAGAATCAGAATGTTCAAGTCTGATAAATTTAAAATTTCCAAATAGCGAGGTAGCCCTTTGGGTATTTTTTTTTATTATTATTTATTAATACTTATAGGCCGCCCTTTTCCCTGAGGGGACTCAGGGCGGCTTACATAAAATGAGGGGAGGGGATATACAAACATTACACACACACAATACATAGAAGTAAAATAATAAGCAACATTCATTCNACTAATATTTTCCTTATTCTCCTGTGTTCCCTTATGTCCCAACTACAAGAGAAAAAGTAAGATAGCAAAAGTACTTAGACTTATATACTGTTTCATGGTGATTTATAGCCATCTGTAAGCAGTTTACAGAATCAGCATATTACCCCCAACAATCTGGGTGCTCATTTTATCAGCCTCAGAAGGATGGAAGGCAAAGTCAACATTGAGCCTGGTGAGATTCTATCTGCCAAATTGCAAGCAAATGGCAGACAGCAGAAATAGCCTGCAGTACTGCATTCTAACCACTGTGTTAGTCCTGCTTCTAGAAATAACCTGTGATGATTCCAATAATAGTATGATTAATAAACAAATATTTATAAATTTATACATTTAAATTGTAGATATGCATGACTGTTCAAAATGCCCAGAAGATCAATATCCAAATAAGGAGCAAGATTCATGTATTGCAAAGAAAATATCTTTCTTGTCCTATGAAGAGCCAATGGGAATAGGTTTATTTACTCTTGCACTTTTCTTTACTCTCTGCACAACTGTCATACTCAGAATATTTTTGAAGTACCACAATACTCCCATTGTCAAGGCCAATAACCGAAACCTCACCTACCTTCTACTCATCTCTCTCATCCTCTGCTTCCTCTGCTCACTGCAGTTCCTTGTTATGCCCAGCAATATAATTTGTCTTTTCCGACAAATTAGCTTTGGCATCATCTTCTCAGTGGCTGTGTCTTCTGTTCTGGCAAAAACTATCACTGTAGTTCTGGCTTTCATGGCTACCAAGCCAGGATCAAGGATGCGGAACTGGGTTGGAAGAGGACTGGCAATCCCCATTGTTCTTTCTGGTTCCCTAATTCAAACAGGCACTTGCATGGTATGGCTGTTTACTTTTCCCCCTTTTCCTGACATTGATACCCATTCAAAAATGGAGGAAATAATTCTACAGTGCAATGAAGGTTCAGCTACCATGTTCTACTGTGTCCTGGGCTACATGGGCTTTCTGGCAACTGCCAGTTTCACAGTAGCATTTTTCTCCAGGAATCTCCCCAGCAGTTTCAATGAGGCCAAATGTCTCACATTTAGCATGCTGATCTTCTGCAGTGTGTGGCTCTCCTTTGTTCCATCCTATCTGAGCACCAAAGGAAAATACATGGTGGCTGTGGAAGTTTTCTCCATTTTATCTTCTAGTGCTGGATTGCTTGTGTGTGTATATTTCCCCAAATGCTACATAATTATTTTTAGGCCAGAATTAAACAACAGAGAAGAATTAATAAAAAGAAAATATTAATAATTACAACAAAAATCACATTTCCTATAGTATTTTAATATCTCATAGGAATCCCGGTGTTAGCAAACAACTATGTGAATATGATATGTATACATTTGTGCTGTGTCATTGTACAAACAATCGTGGCAACTTGTTAAATTTAAATCTAGGTGGACTAATGCTAAGAATAATTGCCACAGAATCTGGCAGTTTTCAAGCACTCAGCAGACAGAAAAGGCTCTGCAGATTTTCTCTATGCATTTAATAATTAGGATTTCATCAGCCAAACTTTATGATTACCATGGACCACATAATGTGAGGTTTGTGGTCATAGATACACTCAAGTCTCAGCAAAATGGGAATGCAATATACAGAACTAAATGTCACTTGACCAAAGCGATTATCAAGTTGCATTTGCAATTTTTCACTCAGCCAAAGTTAGAGATTATTGGGGTTGACCATCAATGATTTCAACAACCAGTGGTGATTGAATGACACCCAAATAACCATTTGTCTTGGTTAAGGCACTAGGCTAGAAAATGGGATAATGTGATTTCAACTCCTGCTTTAATCATGAAAGCCAGCTAGGAGACTTTGGGCCAGCCATTCCCTCTCAGCCCATCACACCTCATAGGATTGTTGTTTTGTGGAAAATAGAAAGAGGAAGGTGTGTTGGATCCATCTGCTGCCTTGAGTTATTTATAAAAATAATACAGATGGGATATAAATAAAATAAATATATATAAAACAGGCTTTGGCTGTACTTGGTAAAATTGAATGACTTTGGATTTGTGGAGATTCAGGATTTGGAACTTTAATTGTGAATGGAGTTGCAGTATTCCAGAAAAAATGCTACCTGTTCACCCAAACTGGTAGTAAAATAATGCTACCATTCGCCCGGAGAGTAAAAAAAAAAATGTGTAGTCAAAAATGCGTAACAAAGTAAAAATAAATTTCGATGATCAGCTGTGCTGCGTGATGGTTGCATTTGGGGTCCGTTTTTGCTCCAAGGAGGCTTCCCTGAGGCCTGCAAGGCCAAAAATGGGGCTGAGGGGGTGCTGTGAAAGAAAGAAAGAAAGAAAGAAAGAGGAGAGGGAGGAAGGAACACTAACCTGGCCCTAGACAGGATACCTTGAAAGTACACAGCAATCCAGCGCTGAAAGGGACCTGGAGGTTTGTCTAGTCTAACCCCCTGCTCCAGCAGGACATTGTTAAAGTGAGTTTCTGTCTTTTGAGTCTCCAATCACAGACTACATAACCACACCCACACAGTCACATGAACCCCCTACCACCAAGCCAAGCCCACAGAACTGGTAGAATTTTTTTTTTAGATTCCACCACTGGATGGATGGATGGATGGATGGAAGAATGGATAGATAGAGGGAGAAAGGGAAAGAAAAAGAAAGAAAAAGGAGATGAAGGAAGCACCAAAAACTCTGGCATTGGACAGAGTGCTTTGAAGCAGCACAGAAAACTAGTGCTGGAATAGACCTTGGAGTCATCTAGTCTAACCCCCTGCTCCAGCAGCAGACCTTATATCATCTTGCTTATTTTGGTGCCTCTAACACAGTGGAGAAATCCCCAGAAATCCCCAGACATTGCCAACTTCTCCCCCTTAGTAAAAAAAAACCTAGAGTAAACTTTATGAACTATTAATAAGAAGAATAGAAAAGGGGGCTGCTGTGTATAGTTTAATGGATTGCTAAATTGGCAAAATGGACAGCTAACTTGGCCATGCCCACCCAGTCACATGACAACCTGGCCATGCCCACCAAGTTAATCCCACCAAGCCACACCCACAGAACCGGTAGTAAAAGAATTTGAATCCCATCACTGCATTATATGATGACTTATTGGTTCATTCCAACTTTAATATTTCATTAATTATTTTGACGTTTACAATTTTTACTTCCTCTCATAATTATCAAAAAGACTATTATTAACCTTGATATACCTCAATTCCCTGACTGACAAATTATTATACTTGGAAGAATGAGAACTAAGTGCAATTGGATAAATAAATAATCAGAATGCTCTTTTAGAGCCATTTGCATTCTAAGATTCACCATAGAATGGAAGTCATGTGAGGAATAGAGATTAAATTTAACCTCACCCAATTTTGAGGATTCTTAAGAATTTTTTGGCAATGAGAGAAACTTTATCAAACTGGGTATTTATTATGATGATATTGAGTCTTCTACTGCTATTGCCACATACGTTTTGCAACACTCAACTAATAAAATGCAGCATCCAGGATCCTATCCCGATTGACCACAAATATTTCCAACCAGGTGAACTAATCATTGGTGGTATGACTTCTTTTGTCTTCATAACTAGAGATATAGGAAGTTTCGAGAAAGATCCCCATAATTCCCTTGTGGGTGAATCTCTGTAAGTCATTATTTTCTTCCTACAATCTATGTTAATCTAGATAAAATTATAAAAAAACTTCTTCTATGTAATAGAATTCACTAGAGTGATTAAAAATAATCCTTTAGATTCTATTTTTAATTGGATTATATTTTTCAGCTGATACATTTTTCTTGTACTTAAAGGACATTAAGAAACTATGTTCCTTAAATCGTTTTTTAAATTCAGATTCAAATCTTCCAGATTCCATAGCTATTAAATACAAACAAGGAAAGAATTCCTTCACCCAACCACCAGTCCCTTTTCTTGAGATGGGAATTACAAGGTCAGATTTTGAAACTGATTGTGCAGAAGATGTGAAATTGCACTGAACCACAGGAATAATAAAGTTCAATCAGACATGCAGCATATTTTATTTCAGTAAATGAGACTTTTCTTCCAGAAATAAATTCTGATAAATTGAAAGATTTTTCTGGGGAGTGCAGACAGAAGAACCATTGTTCTTGTTGTCCTTTTATTGACAAAATTTTATTCTGTCAATCTTAGGCCATTTTATTATTTTCTTTCCAGTTTCTCCATTTCGGCAGAGAATATAAGTATCACATCATTATCGCTTATTTTTACAGATATTTTTAGGGGAGAAAAACTGATTGATTTGTGGTTAAATTATAGTATTCTTACATTTAATTACACAGAAAGAAATAAAGAGCTACAATTTATGCATTATTAAAGAAGTGTTTAAGGTTCCATAAAATTCATTGTTACTTCCAACCTTTTACACATATTTTGTTAAAGTCAGACTAAATTCTAAACATACACCATTTTTGCCATTTTTTTCAAAGTCATTTAAATTAAAATGAACCACTTCTAGTGTAAGAAAAAGTGACTAATTCAATTCTTTTCTCAGGTGCATGCCAGTAAATGCTTGGCAATTATGCTGGTCAGTTTCACATAATTAGAATTGCTTTAAAATAACACAGAGAGCTAAAGTTGATTATTGCCCTTAAACATAATTCCACAATATTTATATTGGGTAAGAGTACCTTTTGTACATCAATATGTACAATAAGTTCCATAGGAAAAAATAAGTATTACCTTATAAATGATTATTTCAAGGGAGGTTAGTCTTTAATCATTTCACATGAAAGAGTAATTATTTGTTTATTAGCTCCATTTTTCTTTTCATTGAATTAGTTTCATTGCTCTTTAAAGATGCAGAATTTCATCTGCTACAGCATATAATTCTTGTTACAGAGTCCTGACTAAATACTATCAACATATCTTAACCATGGTATTTTCTGTGAAGAAAATTAATGAAGACATCCAGCTCTTACCTAATATCACTTTGGGCTTCATAGTCCATGATAGGTATGCTGGTTATCATGCCAAAATGGAACTTTTCTCTAGTCAGAACAGCTATGTCCCCAATTACAAGTGTGGCATCCTGAACAAACTCATATCAGTTGTTGGGAATATTGATTCAGGACTCTTTAGTGATATGGCAACTATTTTAGATGCTTACAAAATTCCACAGGTAAGATGGGTGATTTTGTCTTTCTAGTTGTATGGGATCAAAATGTAATTACCTTTCATGTATATTTCTCCAATGAGCATATTTAACAAAGTGCATTTAATATAGCATTTTTTTAAAAAAAATCAGAATTTGGTGCTACTATTGAGTTTAAAAGATTAATTATTATTAATCATTAAATGTTATCTATTGTCTTTTCATGTAAGTTGCTAATGTGATGGGGGGAAATCTATATAATGTTCCTGGTTTTAGTATTTATATTTTACTTCATTATTATATTTATATTCTACCTTTCATTCAGGTGTTCAAGGAGGCATAAGTAGGGTATTTTCTCATACAGATAGTCCTCACTTACCAATCACATATGAGATAGCTATCCCGTTGCTAAGCACCATATATGATTTTTTCAGAGTTACAACCCCACCTCCACTTCTGTCTTTAAGCAAATTATCATGGTTATTAAGCAAGATGTATTTTTTTGGATTATAAAATGCACCTTATAAGACACACCTACATTTAGAAGAGGAAAACAAAAAAGGGGTTTTGGCCTCTGTGCACCTCATTTTGGCGACTTTTGGGGGCCTTTTCCCAGCCTCTTCTCTACCCATTTTTAGGCTTTTTTGGCCCATTTTGAGGCTTTTGGGGGGCTTTCTGAGGGTTTTCTTGGCCCATTTTTGAAGCTTTCTTTTGGCCCATGGAAAAACAGGTCAAAAATATCCTTAAAAAAAAAAGCCTGAAAAGGGGGCGTGCAGAGGCCAAGAGATGGCTGGCGGGAGGGGAGGGCTTTGGCAATATATGGTCTATAAGATCACTCCCTTTTGGGAAACAAAAAAGTGTGTCTTATAGTTCAAAAAATACAGTAATTCAGACATGACACATTTTTCTTTTTGGATCATATATGTCTACTTGTCGAGTCCCCCCTGCAATTTACCTAACTAATTTTTACTTCCACAGTTCCCAACTGTCTCTTCCCAATATGAAAGCCATTTTTACTACCGCATGGTTCCAGGTGAAGAACTTTATTACAGGGCAATTATTCAACTACTTGCGCACTTCAGGTGGACTTGGGTTGGGGTACTTGGCTCAATATCTGGTAATCTAACGTATTCAAAGTTTTATC